TAAACATACGGGGTTTTATGTGATTTTATGCGGTGAAATTGCGGGAAGTTAGGAAATATGCGGAAAGTTGCGAAATATGCTAAATATGCGGGGAAAAAGAATAACAATTTTTTTAAATATTGGGCTGTCTTATTTATTCTCTCTCACACACAACCTGCCACTAACGTTAAACCCCTTTACTATTCAATTAAACACATTCAATGTGTATTTATTGTAAAAGCAATTGGGCTTTTTTAATCTTCACACACACACCCACCCCCCCCCACCACACACACACACACGCACACACACTCACACACACACACACACACCCACACACACACACACACACACACACACACACTTCTCCGCCTCATTCCGTTTTCATTTACTCGTTCGTTATCTGACCAGCTTCAATCTTGTAGGCTACTCACTTTGTTTCTTGTAGCCCTCGAAAGGTTTTTGGAGGTTGATGCCTCGCTGAACGTGAGTTGTTCGGCTTTCTTTTCCGCAGCAGCAGAAAGCATTTTCGAATGTTTGAATGAATCAAAGTGGGTCGTCCCCGTCGATTTTCTCTTATGCTCCAACACACAGTTGCACGGGGTGCAGAATAGTTTCCCCCCACTTTTTGCCCCGTTTTTAATAGAAATGTTCGTCGGTAAATGAGATGGATTAGATTTTTTCATCTTGGTGTTTTCTCCATCGTATGAGCTCTACACGTTCACTCTATACAGTGTTGTTTACATTCTGTGATGCGCGAGCTGATGACGTCACGTCAAGACGAGTCAACTTTTTTTTTCCTCAACTTTGTGTGGAAAAATGCGGGGATTATGCGGCCTTTTGATAAATATGCGGCCTTTTAAAAATCTGCGCCATTTTGCTGATTATGCGGTAAATTCTGCGATCGCAGAATCGCGTTTTTCTGGAGGGTCTAATTATAGTTATAAAAAAATAAGAGAATAAATGAAAAACAGGTATGAAATACTATATGACAGTAAAACAAGAATAAAGTTTAAAAGGGTGATTTGTAAAATATCCATAAAGAAAAAGTAAATCTGTTTCCGGGTGTGTTTCATCTGGGTGTTGAGAGGTATCCATAGATCTCTTCATGTTGCTCTCAAAGTTCACCAGATTGAGGCTTTTAACTTCAATATTTAAAAATCTTCTATGTGAGGTCCACACACCACCTATAAAAATAGCACTTGACCCCTGCTTACACCTATATGCCGTGAGCTGATTATCGAGCCTTCATTGGAAGGTTTTTATTTATTTTAATTATTTTCTATTTTGTAGATTAACACTGAAGACATCAAAACTATAAAAGAACACATATGGAATCATCTAGTAAACAAAAAAGTGTTAAACAATCAAGAATATGATTGATATTCTTCAAAGTAGCCCCCTGTTGCCTTGGTGACAGCTCCATGAGGTCGTCACTCACATCTACACTGTATGTTCAAATGACAACAAAGCCTGCAATGTTTGCATTTACCTTGGGGTAGGTCCTGAAGGCGCCCAGGTTGACTTTCCCAGCAGAAATGGTGCGGGTGGGGTCAATCTGAGATACAGTAGAGAGGGAAACAGAGGTCAGAGGTCACAGTAACCTCCAGGGAGCGCTCCATTCACCCACCAGCACCTTGGAGTGGGCTGTCAGAGTGTGAGAACACCTCAAACACACACTTCATTACACCTCAAACACACACTTCATAACACTCGCCCGCGGCCTCGCAGCATGAAGTGTAAACAACACACAACATTTGGTTTTAAATATTCATCAGCACTGCTTGGAGAGGGAAAGTCCTCCATCAAAAATATCAAGGATTAGGGAGAAAACGCGGTTAATGAAATAAAAAATGTCTCCTATTATGCAAAATGCACTTTTTTAATGTCTTTTATACATACATAACATACATAACACTTCATAGACATGTTTTTTATATATTTTTATATATCTGAGACCTATAATATATGCCTAAAATAGTACAATAGGAGTTTTCCTCACCACGACGGCCACAAAGGGCTCCTGGAACTGCTGGTTGAGCATCTGAGTGCTGACGTCGATTCCTGAGAGCCAGCATCCGTATCCAGGGTGACTGTGGTACCAGCCAATAGCGTTCTCCAGACGGCCCACCTGACGCACAGGAAGCGCAACGGTAAATATAATCAATAACGTACAAATCACATGTTTTTATTGCATTGTGTTCACTGAATGGGTTTGTGTTCTCTTTTTCTGGAAATGTGCTACTTCAAACTAGACTTATCAATAATTGGCCATAATCTATAAAGTAATCATACGTTGAAGCCCTAATTCAATAGTGATCATATGTCAACATAATTAAATGAAAAAGCACATATTTACCGTATAAGGTAAACACACAGGAATATTTAACCCATGAAACAATTGGTGTTGCAAAATGATCCCCATTAAATATCACTGTTCTTCATTCCACTGAAAGACCTTAGCATTAAAAGACGGTTCCCAAGAAGGCCTAATAACACATTCCTTCCTTCCTCTCCTTCCTTCCTCTATGCACTGCACTGTTTACAGATAAAGCCTTTTGTATATTCTATACACCAAAGGATAATAGAGCAGTAGCTCCCAGTGTTATTGGTACAAAACTGTACAAAGCGTCTCCTTTATGGGCTTAAAACTCATATAGGTGCAGTCTAGTCCACATTGCAAACATTAAAGTAGGTTTTTCCTGAATTATGAATGAAATTGGCTCAAAAATATGGTTTCAAACACCGTAACTGAACAGAGTGAATGCAGATGTTTCCCCCTCTCTCATCATAAAATGTGTCCGACCTGTTTTGCGTTCTCCACATTGCAAACATTAAAGTAGATTTCCCCTGAATAATTGAATGAAATACAGGTCGTGTTTTAAACATCGTAACTGAACAGAGTGAATGCCTCTTCCTCCCACCTGTTTAGCGTTCTCGATGTACGCAGCCATGTACTCGTACGCCGCAGCCTGAGCGTTGACACGTGTTTCTGTTCCCTCCACCGGCAGCGCGAAGCTGTCCATAATCATCATGGTCTCTCCGTCTACCTTCCCCAGCATCAGACCCATAACCTCCAGGTTCCCCCCCGACCGCGCGTGCATCACCATCTTCAGAAGGGCCAGAGCCGACACCTTGCAGTACTTAAAGTAGTGGTGACTGTGGGGGAAACATAGGGTTTATTACACCTACAAAGGGTTACATCTGTATTCAAATGCACAGGGGAACACGAGAGATTTGGGAAGATCTAAAATAGAGGGGAAAATATCAGGTATATTACATATGTAAGTGTTTAATCTTTATTAAAATGCACAGAGAAACAGTAGAGATTTAGGAAGATCTAAAATAATGTACTTATATTTATATTTATTTAGCATATACATTTTTACTTTTGTCATTTATTTTGAGGATATTTCCTTTGTTTGGTTCCCTTTCTTGTATGAATGTGGTTCTTGCATGTCAATTAGATAATATTAATATATATATATATTTTTTTTTAAGCAAGGTTAAAAATCACCATGTTCCCAATATACTTTCCATTAAGAATGTAATATAATTTAATATTTTATTACTTGAAAAAACCCGCAAACAATTAGAAATTTGGAAAAATCATTAAAATAAATCCATATAATATTACAAACAGCAAGCAAATAATTAAATAATTGTTAAATTCTGTAATGTCGGAAATAAGATGTAGTTCAACACATTTCTGTTGTTGCATCTTTCAGATATAAAGCCTTCATCAATCTTAGCCCTCACTGTTTGTACAAATGCTCACATTTCACCTGAAAAACGACTCATATCTGTGTTTAATCAGAATGTAACTGAGTTACACAGTTAGCTCTACAGCTGTTGACAAACAAGAAATGCTAGTTCGTAGCCAAGCTAGCAAGGCTATCAAACGTGACAAAGCACACTGTAATACAGATTACAATCACCTTTAAACCTTTAAATAAACACTAAACTGTTGTTTGTACTCACTCTTTTGTCCATGGCTTTGCAGCGAGGATTTCCTGTTGTTGTTTTTTGTCATATTTGTAGATTTCGTCAATGCCCTGAACCTCGTTCATGCTGTTGGAAAGCTCCCATGTCTTCTGAGCAGTGCTGCTCCCCGCCATCATGAACTACACAAGCTATAGAAACCTTAATTATTAATTAAAAACCCCTTTTTACTGCAGGATTAACACAATAAATGTATTTCTCCAAAGATCGTAGCACCGTTACAGGTCAGTTTACCAGGCAGCCATGATAGTGAACGATACCAATACACCAATCACGTTTCGTAATGTTATTGAATATTTAAAGTTGTGTGTTTCTATGTTATATTACATTCTTAAACATTACCAATGGACTGTTTTATAATAATAATATTCAAACTGCAGGCGATTTTTAACGTAATATCACTGATATTGAAGGTAATTCACCCCTCTGCCCGAGTGAATGGTTCAGTTGATGACGATACCAATACACCATGCGCACAGTTTGTCATAAAGTTACACACATATAATGTTTGTTTATTTTATGTCACATCAATTTGTTTATCCTTAAAATATATCTGTATCAAAATAAGAATATTAGATCTGTAAGTTATATTTAACGTTTCTATCACTGATATTAAAGTTGAATTACCCCTCTACCGGATTGAATGGTTCAGTCCTCAATTAATGAACCGTTGCTGACATCTCGCGGCGCTTCGAAGAAAAACACCATGAGGCGGTTTTTAATTATTTTTGAATATTCGGGAATAATAATATATTTAACAAATCAACAAAAACTGCTGCTAATTAAGGTACAATTAACTCATTGCAACTTAATTTAACGCCTACTTTAAAGCGACGACTTTAGACACGTTTTCTTTTAATGTTTTGAGTGTGTGTGTTATGTTACCTAGCAACAGAATGATGCTTTGCACCCGGCTCACAGCAACAGATCAGACAGGTTTTAGTCTGTGAAGGAATAATCATAATATAATATTAATTATAACATTTATATTATAATGCTATACTTCTGTGTTCAATGGGCTGCTGCTGGTGTAACTACAGAGGAATTAAAGCATGGGACCTTTTTCGAGGAAACACCCAAACAAACACCTCTGAAGTGAGATTCAGGTAAATAATAAAGGTTTGTTTAATATAATATCTTTGTATTTTATGGTATTTTAATAGTATGCTATGTTCTACATCTACTTTACTACATTTCAGAGGGAATTACTACTTTACTGACCTAGTTACTGTGCAGATTAAAGAGTTTAAAAACCTATAATACAGTAAATATTAAAAACATACAGTAAATCAAACTAATATAAACAATGAAGACAGTTAGCGTAACCACAGCCAGCTACAACATTAAAATGCATCCCACATGGTACTGCTTTAATTGTATTAATTTAATGCAATATATATAAACTAAATAGTCCATATGGCTATTTATCGAGCACAATATGTACATTTAGTTTACACACTGGCCTACTTAATTCATATTTTGAATGCAGGACATCAACTTATAACAAAATGAACACATTTAATTATTTAGAATAATACTGCATTCAAGTTGGCATTCATAGTACCTTGTGTTTAATTTATATTTCTGTGTACAACAAAACAATGTGTGAGTGTGTGTGTGTGTGTGTGTGTGTGTGTGTGTGTGTGTGTGTGTGTGTGTGTGTGTGTGTGTGTGTGTGTGTCAGGGTCTGGTAATGGTCCCAGTGGAAATGCCTCCAGCATTGAGGCTATCTGCTGATCCCGACAGAGGTACGTCTGAACACATTTAAAGGTTTACAGTTTAAAAGGTTTATATCCTAGCGTTTTCTTTGTGTTTGATATTTGTGGTGCTCTTCAGGTGTGGGCTTTGGGTTTCTTCTGGGATATGACTATGAGAGGAAGAAGAAGAAACTCCAGCAGGAGCTTCAGCTGGACTACAAACAGTACGCTGCCAAGGTCTGACCTTTATCCATTTTATTCTACATGCATGGGTCATACATGATTCTCTCTCTACAGAAACACAGTCTGATTCTCTCTCTACAGAAACATAGTCTGATTCTCTGTCTACAGAAACACAGTCTGATTCTCTCTCTACAGAAACACAGTCTGATTATCTCTCTATAGAAACACAGTCTGATTATCTCTCTATAGAAACACAGTCTGATTCTCTCTCTATTGAAACACAGTCTGATTCTCTCTCTACAGAAAAACAGTCTGATTCTCTCTCTATAGAAACACAGTCTGATTCGCTCTCTATAGAAACACAGTCTGATTCTCTCTCTATAGAAACACAGTCTGATTCCCTCTCTACAGAAACACAGTCTGATTCTCTCTCTACAGAAACACAGTCTGATTCTCTCTCTATAGAAACACAGTCTGATTCTCTCTCTATAGAAACACAGTCTGATTCTCTCTCTACAGAAACACAGTCTGATTCTCTCTCTACAGAAACACAGTCTGATTCTCTCTCTATAGAAACACAGTCTTTAATATACAGGAAAGAATGATCCAAAGCTTACTTAAATGT